AAAACAATCACAGAAAGCTGGTAGAACGTGAAATGGAAGACCTGAATTTGTATGGGCTGCACAGTTGAATCGTGAGCTTGTGGAATGCCATCTCAGACTACACCGCTAACCCTGCCTCCCTCTCCATGTGCTCTCCACCCCTGGTGTACCACTTGTACTCCTTCAGAGACCAAATAAGCAGATTCTCCCTTTCAAAATTGAGCCTGAAAAAGAAAGAGAACACACATAATCTCTCTTTTTGGAGCCTGACGTGGCAGAAGCAATTTCTCTTCGTGTCGAATAGAAAAGTAGGAATTTCTCTCCCCCACCACCCATAAGAACAAAACCAGAACAACAGTAATAATGATGATGACACTTGGAGGGGCTTATGGGTAGGTACAGGTTGTTTATATGCATTCATTTCTAAAAAAATAATAATTTGGATGTTTATTCTAAAAACACGTGAAAAAATCTAGGTATCTTTTACTTGCTATATTAGGTTTTAGTATCTGTTCTTGCTTTCTTTTAGCTTTATTCCAACAAACATATGTTCAGTGCCTATTGTGTATACTCACCAATCTAGGCGATGGGGATACAACAGAAAAAACAAAAATCACTGTTTCCTTGGAGCTTATATTCTAGCACAGTGAGAAAAAAACAGACAATAAATAAGACAAAAAATGAAACATTGAGAGGGCAATAAATGCGATAAAGAAAAAAGAAGGGAGGATAGAAAGTGGCTATGATGTTGCAATTAAGATCGTGTGGTCAGCAAATGCCTGGCATTTGAGTAAGGATTGGAAGGACAGAGGAACAAACCATGTAGGTGTCTGGGGAAGACTATTTCAGACAGAGAGAACAGCAAATACAAAGACACTGAGTCAGGAACAAAGAAGAAATCATAGATGGATAGAATCCTGAGAGCAAGGGAGAACGTACTCAGAACATGTGGTCAGATATGTCCCAAGGAGCTTATGACCAGATAGTCCATTGCAAGGACTTGAGCTTCACTGTGACATGGGAAGGTGACTGACCAAAGGAGACACGTGACCCATCTTGTGTTTTAGTAGGATCACTCTGGCTGCTGTATTGAGAATGGATTAGAAGGGAGCATGGGTGGAAATAAGACCACACAGGAAATTATTGCAGTGATCCATGGGAGAGATTGTGGTAGCTGGGCCCAAAGTGATGAGAGTAGAGGGGCGAGAAGCAGGTAAACTCTGATTATATTTTGAGATTTGTTCACAAACTGGATGTGTGTGGGGTGTATGAGAGATGAAGGGAGGGATGGAAAAAGGCATCAAGGGTGAATATGAGATTTTTCTCCTGAGCAGTTGGACGGATGGACTGCCAGTAATTTGAATGTAAAAAGATTGTGAGAAGAGCTTTGGAAGATCATTTTTTCAGTTTTTCACATGTTATGTTAGGTGATGGACCATATAAGCCTGGAGTTCGAGAAGAAGCTCTGGGTTGGAGGTTTAAATTTGGAATTTATGAGCGTATACTTACATCTATGCCATGAGACAAATGAGATGTCCAAAATAACTTAGATGTGTTCTCTGTCACATTTTTAGAGACGAGGAGGAATAAGTAAAAGGAAATTTAACGGATGGTCACAAGAGATGTCCGGGAAGACAAGTCAACAAAACAATTTAAGAGGCATGTTGAACTGTGTCCTAAAATCAAGCCAGATAAGTGGCTTGGGATTTAGCTATCTAAAGATTGGTTTTGACCTTCATAAGAGCAGTTTCCATGGAATGGAGGGGCAAGAGCCTGACAAGTGTGGTCTCAGCAAAGAACAGGAGTTCTTTGGAAACTGCTCTGTAGAGATTGGAAACTGCTCTGTAGACAGACATTTTCAGATTTTGCTTTTAAGGAAAGTAGAGAAACGGGGTATTATCTACAGGGGTAAATGGGTCCTGAGAAGGTTTCTTAAACCTTTCTGTTGTTGGTTTTTCTTTTTGTTTGGGGTGGGAGAATGAATAGTATATTTGTGGACCAACCTTCCTGTGTACGTCTGGGGATGAGATGCCTAAATACTGACAGAGATCTGTGAGGACAGGAGTTTTGATTAGAAATAATGACTCTGTGAAAAGAGTTTGGATTATGGGGTCTTTGGGAAATGTTGGTGTTGTGCTGGGTGACGTGAGAATACAAGCATTGCAGAAGGAGAACAGAAGGGTTGCCAGAAGATGGATAGGGCAGCAGAAGAGAAAGGCATCCAAATGAAATATTACCTGTTTGCATTTTGCATAATGTTTAGGTTACTATAGTCCCAAAGATGTCAGTGAAAAATCTTCCACATGCCATAGAAGTTTAGTCTAGGTGAAACCTTAACAACAGAAAAAAAGTTAAATAGAATTTCTTCTTTCCTGTCCAGCTTCTTTTTCTATCATGTTGGAAATCAGCATGCCTCTGTTGAGGAACCAGAACCATGATTTATGTTAATTAATGCATCTCTGTAACACCGTCTACTGGGAACTCTGTTACCTGATAATGGAGGTGTTCTGATGAAGCAAGTAATCTAGCTAATAAGCACCTACAATGTACGATTTAAAGAAATTGTCAGTTTTGAAACAAGTGTGCATATGGTAGATGTTGAAATGCAGACCGCATGGAGAGTTTCTTATCAGCCAGCACCAATGAAGCCAAAGACTTTGTTTGGGCACCACCGATTCAGGAACCGAACCTCTTCTTTCCAGGAAGAGAGGCCGTCTCATTCATTCATCCATCCATCTGTACATCTAGGGTAGACGTTGTGAAGATAATTCCTGTCAATTGTGGGACTGGGAGACGGACTATCAGATTTGGGAATACTCCACTTCTTATTATCATCATCTTTGTGACGACTATTGCCTTTTCTCTCCATTCTTTATCGTATTCTTTAGGATATAGCATCCTAGTGGACAAACCACAAATATTTTACAAGATATCCTCTCTTTTTACAGCTCTCTTGTTGGAAAACAGTCACAGTGTGGTCTGAAACCCTGAGTTAGAAATGAAAAAGACTAGATTCTAGTACCAATTACTGTTTGGCCTCTCCCTTTGGGAAACAAAATCTCCGAACTATTATGTTCTCTCATTTGATAAGTAGGCGTACCATTGTTGTTACATCTGCTGTAAACTTGTATGGATATAATAGTATGGAAAACAGGAGAGTATCTTGGGGAGGAAAGGTTACATAATAAACATAGATAATGGCGTAGTTGATGAGTTATCAGTTTTAAGATTGTGTATTATGCTCCAAACTGATACTCAGTTTTTTTCTCTTTTCCCCAATATGTAAGGCGCACTGCATTTACTAGCAGTTAAGGATGTAGGGAGAGGGAAGAGTAAGGTATTACTCTTCACTAACACAAAATTGTTCATAGAACCCACATAATAAGCCGCTTCACCTTGCCGATTGGCAATTAAAGTAAATGTTACTAAAATGTGTTAGAATTCACCAATATGCAAAACTGAAATTATAATCATGTCACAAAAATAGTGATGAAAATAACACTTCTAGCACATTTTAAAAACTGATTTTATTTTCCTTTTCAAGATTTAAAGTTTTAAACTCTTCACTTTGACCAGATGATTAGAAAGATACAGTTCTACTGATTATTTTTATACTAGAATAATCTTTCGTTATTAATCCATTTAAGTCTTCTCTCAAATCAGTTCATCATTACTACCAATTAAAAATAGAAAATATATGTGCTCAATTTCAAGAATTAAAAATAATGCCTTGGGAGTAGCATTTCTTTCCTGTGGTAAGAGGATTGTTGGATTTTCCAATTAAAGAAGTCTCCATACTGGAAATGAGTAGTCAATTATGAAAATTATTTCTGAGTAGTCAATTTGCATATCCCTAATTGTATTCATTTCTTTTGAAAGACTCAACTTGGAATTTATGATGTTTTGATTGATTACTCCTGCATTTGTGTTATTAATACTATTGCCAACGAGATTCCCTTATGAATGGGGCTTTCTGTGCCTTTCCTAAATAAATGCTTGAATCATAAGTAGGTTTGTTTTATGTAATGAATGAAAACTATCTAAAGATTTACTAGCAGATTTCAAAGTTGCCCACACTGCTCTTTCCTGGGTTGACAGTAGCATCCTCTTGCTGCCTACTGCACACACATTTGGACTTTTCCACGGCACTTGATGAGACGCTTGTGAAGGTCCTCCGTGGAGGTGCTGTCTGCTGGCCAAAAATACAGTTTGAGCAGGGCTGTCCTCACTGTTGATACAGCAGTGCTTGGGCAATTACTGGAATATTTTATTTTATTTTATTTTGCCCTTTATGAAAAATGACTTGGAATGGACAATTAAATGTTTTATATTAATAGTTCTATGTTAATAGTTCTATATTAAGAAACATAGTTCTCCTATGAAATGAAATTGAAATGAAGATAGTAATAATTTGGTTGAAAGTGCTGACGTTTAGTCTCTTTGGACTTGGCGTTCATTGGACTGAACCAGTCAGCACAGTGTCATGAAGGAAGAGAACAGAATTAAAGGGATGTATAAAAAGGGGATGATATCTATGTGCACAAAATGAACACATTGTATGGAAATATACGCATTCATTTGTTGTGATCGTGTCTAAAAGGGCAGCTGTAATTATGGATTTTATAATATCTCAGCTCTCTGAGCCTTGAATGTCCTCTTTTTTCAAGTAGACCTATCCTCAGCTTCTGCATCTTCGACTTTTTATTTCTGGAAAGACTCTTAAAAATACTGAAGTCCTTTTAGGAATATTGGTGAAGGTGGCAAGGGGAAGGGGCAGCCATTTCCTTATTTCAAAAGAGCCAAAAATTGGTTCTTTATTTCAAGAATCGCAAACAATTAATTCCTGGTTACAATGCTTTTAGACCTATTGAGTGGAGAGTTGTGGGGCAGTAACATTCAAGTTTGACGTTGTCAGAGGCCATTTTCTTTAAAATCAAATAAAGATCACAATCAGCGAGATACAGTGTTGTGTGATGATGCATGTCATACCAAGTAATGAGTGTTGTTGGATTTGTTTGTAGCTGATTGCTGTGTTTGATGAACAAGAACCACTCCACAAGATTGAGAGCCCCAGTGGAAACCTTGCAGGTCAGCAGACCCCAGATGCCTTTGAGACGGAAGTGGCTGCCCAGTTGGCTGCATTTAAACCAATTGGTGGGGAGATCGAAGTAACCCCTTCTGCTCTAAAATTAGGTATGTACATTTTCACTAGTATGTTTTTCACCTGATTGAAATACATCAGCTTGCTGATTATGAGTTGCTTCTACAATATGACGTATCCTCTTAGTATCTTTCTTTAAAAATCTGGTCTGTCTTTTCTTTAAATTATTTTCACATAGCTCTTTGTAGTCGATGCTCAGACAAGTGGATGCGGTTTTTGCTTGCATTGCGGGCAAATCTGAACCGCATCCTCTCGAAGTATCCTACAGGACAGGCTGGTCTGTAAGTGATGTGGCTTATCTGTAGCCTGTGAGGATCACTTTAAGAAAATGTCCCTGAAGAGTGTCATTTGGCAAAAGCTAAGGGTTATCAAGGAATTTGGACTAGAAACAAAGGTCGCTTTCTGTTTCAGCCGCCTTCTTTTTCTCCCCAAATGATGTATCTCAGAGTTTGGAGGAAACGTTTGAAGTTAATTTCTTAATTTTGTCCTCCTCATTTATTCAAGCGAGAACAACCCACCTGGTAATTTTGTTCAGAATTCTTTATTTTTGTTTTGAAGGCATTGGGAGAAAAATAAACATTCTTCTACAGTTTCAGTGCATTTACATCTCCAAGAGAAATGTCAGTTTTTGGTGATAACTCTTAAAGATAAATTTAGGTCCGTTTAACAGCATGAAGCTTTTGAAAATCCACTAACATTTTGGTACTTAAAACAAATTTTCATTCCTGTTGAATGTATGCATATGTTTTGAGACTGCTCTGAGCACCTGTTATACAGGTTAATTCTCCAGATAGAAGAACAGAGGCTTTTACTACTTTGCAAGGGGAATCTTTCGCTTGCAAAGCAAAGAACATGCTTAAAATTGTAAGTCCTAGAGAGTACTCGTTTTTCCCATCTGAAACAAAATGTTTACTGTAAAGTTTGTTTTACATACCACAATATTGAATACCCGTATTTGGTACAAATGTTCTGGAAAGCATCTGTGGTGCTGCCTTTGTAATAAACCAAGTAGAAATTAATGACCTATAATCTTCACAATTCTCCTCTATCCTTTGGAAACCCGGCCAGTGAGGCCGTGTGCTGGAATGCAGACGACGGAGGGCCTTGTGGAGGCGTCTCTCCATCCACAGCGAGGTTTGTGTCTTCCACAACCTCACCACCCTATCATTCATTTGCATAATGGATGCCTTTTTATCCATTATGCAAATGGTGCGGGAGGAAAATTAGGCAATAAGGGAAGACGAAAGGAGAAAATTGCTCTTGCTTGTTTTAATATTCTATTTAGAAGCGAGCACTGTGTGGTCTTCGAAAGGCTGAACCTCCAAGGGCCCTGGGCTTGAGAATTTGTTTTCACCTTTCTCTTCGCTTTCTCGGGGAAAAAAAGAAGTTTGTTTTTCTTAAGATTTTCAGCTTCTTTTGTTGAACCAACTGAGCAATGCAATGTTGAAGTCAGGAAGAAAGGTAACCTGAGGTTCTTTTCCTTTGAAAGTGAATTTTGTGCTTCCTGAGGACGGATTTTTGGTAAGAGAGACAGAAAACAATCTTGATTAAATGGGAACTACGTGCCAGGCGCCGAGCTCCAAGCGGTGCACTAAGTGTCCTAAATCCTTTACTCATAACAACCCATTTCAGCCTCACGGTACTTAGCTGGGTTCTGTCACTCCCCTCCTTTAAGAGATGAGGAAACAGGCATAGGGTACTTAAGTGATTTATCCAAAATCACATAGTTATCAGGTGGCGGAGCCAGGATTTGAACCCTCTCTGGCTCCAGTGTCAGGAGCAAATTTTCTGAGCTGCCTTTCGTGTGCTGTTTGTAAGAGAACAAATTGATAGAGTTTGTCTGCGATTTATGTTGTGAATATAAACCAAAACCCTGAAAGTGCTTATTCATTTCTTGGCTTCAAATCCATTTCACGTGGTACTACAGATTAAATGACGAGATTAGCTAACCTTTATTAAGCGGTCAGCGTCGCTTTCCAGCAATGGGTCTGGAGCCCTGACATCATCTCCAGTTCTTCTTCTTTCTTTCCTGCCCTCCTCACTTTCTTCCACCTTCATGTACATGAGTGTCGCAGCAGGCCAGAGCTTTATCATCAATCAGACGATTGCAGAGGCCTCAAACTGACCTCTCTCTTTACAGGGTGCACCGATCCTTGCTTCTGTTAGAGCTGCCTTTCTAAATCACAAATCTGATTATATAACTCCCTGCCTAACAACTTCCAGTGGCTTCCTATGGTGTGGAGAGGCATGTCCAAACTCATTAGCAGGCTGATGCAGATGGTTCCTCAGAATTAGCTGGAGGAATCTGGGCAGGGATGAATGATGAAAAAAATCTATCCCTTATCTATCCTCCGGGGTCCAGCAGATTGAGTACTTTTCATTTCTGTAACTTTAAAAGCAAAGCAAAGCAAAACATGTATCAGGTTTCTCAGAGAAATTAAAGAAGGAAGCAACACCACCTGCTTGGGTATCTGCTTATTCTGTTTTCCTTTTGTTGCTCTCAGGGCAGGTGTGGTCATGGATGGGACAGGTGTCATGGCAGGGTGGGGTGATATGCAAGGCAGCAGATGCAATGCTCATGGCTCTCCCAGGAGTGTGACCCCCGCGGCGCCATTGCCCCCCCCCCCAGATCCTGTTGAGATAAAGGGGGAGGAAGTGGTTAGTGTGGAAGTAGCGTTTGTGTTCCAGTGATTTCACCATAACAAGGTGCATGTAAAATGCCAAACACCAGAGCCCCAGCTCTTCATCTCTACTCCCCACTCTCCTCCCAGAGGCCATTGGAGCTGGTTCTACTCCTCATGGGGGGCTCATTGGTGCCAGCTGGGACAGCAGAAGCAGGGTTTATTCTCACTCATTTTCAAATTTTTGAGACCCCATTCAAGAAAATGGGGAATTTAACCATGATCAGCTCACATGCTTATCTCTCCTAATGAGACACAATTTAACAAATAATAGGGGCGCCTGGGTGGCGCAGTTGGTTAAGCGTCCGACTTCAGCCAGGTCACCATCTCACGGTCCGGGAGTTCGAGCCCCGCGTCAGGCTCTGGGCTGATGGCTCAGAGCCTGGAGCCTGTTTCCGATTCTGTGTCTCCCTCTCTCTCTGCCCCTCCCCCGTTCATGCTCTGTCCCAAAAATAAATAAACGTTGAAAAAAAAAATTTAAAAAAAAAAACAAATAATAGGAATCAAGACATTTTTATGATTAGGTCATACTAATCACCACAAATTTGTGTTTTATTTGTATCTGAGATAAAAATATGCTCAATATTCAGTGTATTTTTATATCATTTTCAACAGAAGATAATCGTCAACAATATTCGTTAAAAACCAACAACGTTCCCTGTATGCATACAGAAGTTCGCCATTCCTGTTTTTTTCTCACAAGATGAAATACTTATGCATCGGATATGCAGCAAGTTCATATTTACAGGCTCTTCATGATCTACCTACTTTCTCTCTGCCTGCCTTTCTTACTGGCCACTCTTCCACAGTTACCTTAACCTGCAGGCACCATGAACCACTGGCCATTCCCCAGATTTGCTTTCTTTTAAGCCTCTGTGCTTTTGTAGGTACTGTTCTCTTCACTTTGATTCCCCCTTTGCCTCTTTTTATACTTGATGAATTTTTACCTACCTTTTTTTAAAAAATAATTTAATATTTTATTTTTGAGAAAGAGAGAGAGAGAGAATCCCAAGCATGCTCTGCACTGTCAGCATGGAGCCGAACGTGGGGCTCAATCTCACGAACCGTGAGATTGTGATCTAGGCTGAAGGAAAGAGTCTGATGCTTAACTGACTGAGCCACCCAGGTGCTCCTGTATCCACCTTTTAAATTCCAGCTCAAATATGACCTTGTGTATAAAGTCTTGTGCACATCTTTTAGATAGTGCAGTGGGTAACAATAAATTTCCTAATGTTTTATTTGGCAACGATGAGTTACAAAGATGAAGTGAAGAACTCTTCTGACCTAAACAGGTTCATACTCTTATATATACCCTATAAGCTAATGGGATATATATATATATATATTTATTTTTAAGAGGAGTTTTAAATCAGTTTGGCATCTACATAATCCCAACTTTATTCATTTAAATTGTTTCTTAGCATTTATTTTCCAGTGGTTTTTCTAATGTAATCCTAAATGACTAAGTTCTGATGTAGAATAATTTGCTAGTTTGGGCTAATGCTTGATGATTCTATGTTTCTGAAATTGATCAATGCTTTCAACTGTATAGCCTAGAGATTGCTAACCTAAAAAACCTATTTAAAAGAAGAGACATGGTAGAACACCACCAGGTAAAACAGTAAAGAATCATATTCACAGAGTCCATTTGGGCTTTAAAATCATCTAGCTCAGGGATTTCCCAAGTCTTCTTTGTGGAATCCTATGGTACTTAACATATTTTGGAATTTCAACAACTATGTGATCATAGTGAATTAATAAATGACATATATTGTGCAGTGACATTCTGGATGCTATTCTAATTTATTCACTTTCACTCTTTGAGAAATAGGACTGGATATGCTAGCAGGAGAAAGAGGGATGCAGAAGGCTGTTGAGTAGGCAGCAGAGAATCCTTAGGCCTTTTAGAAGGTCCTACAGTGGAGAAACTCACTTCCACTCAAAAGAATTCTTAGTGCCCTTGACAGCAACTTTTGTAAGATGCTGGTCTAGACATAGTTCTATAGAATTTCATAATTAGCAGTTTTCTGGACAATTGACATTATTTTACAAATAATCAAATGTGCGCTCTGATGTCAAGTAACTAGTTGGGTAAAAACGCGAGTTGGAACCTGCGTCTCTTGGCTTCTAGTACAGTGCTCTTTCAACTACATGACAGTTTTTGGATTAATTTTAGTTTTCAATTATCCATGTCTTTTAATACTATATGTGATAAAATACCACCTCATATCCTTTTAGAAGTGAGATAGAGTGTAAATTAATAAATAGATACTGTGAATAGCTGTAAATCAAAAGCTAATAAGGGAATAAAGACCAGAAAATTAAGATGGAGAAAATTTCTTTTAAATCCT